TTTTTCTCTCCTTTTTTTCCTTTTCTCCCTCTTTTCATCCCTCCCTTTTTCCTCCTTTTCTCTCTCAATTTTTCCTCCTCTTCTCCCTCATTTTTCCTCCTTTTCTCTCTTTTTTCTCCATCCTTTTTTTCCTTTTCTCCCTCTTTTCATCCCTCCCTTTTTTCCTCCTTTTTTCTCTTCGTTTTCCACCTTTTCTCCCTCTTTTTCTCCATTCTTTTTTCCCTTTTCCCCCTCTTTTTCTCTCCTTTTCTCTCCTTTTTTTCCCTTTTCTCTCTCTTTTCATCCCTCCCTTTTTTCCTCCTTTTTTCTCTTCGTTTTCCACCTTTTCTCCCTCTTTTTCTCCATTCTTTTTTCCCTTTTCCCCCTCTTTTTCTCTCCTTTTCTCTCCTTTTTTTCCCTTTTCTCTCTCTTTTCATCCCTCCCTTTTTTCCTCCTTTTTTCTCTTCGTTTTCCACCTTTTCTCCCTCTTTTTCTCCATTCTTTTTTCCCTTTTCCCCCTCTTTTTCTCTCCTTTTCTCTCCTTTTTTTCCCTTTTCTCTCTCTTTTCATCCCTCCCTTTTTTCCTCCTTTTTTCTCTTCGTTTTCCACCTTTTCTCCCTCTTTTTCTCCATTCTTTTTTCCCTTTTCCCCCTCTTTTTCTCTCCTTTTCTCTCCTTTTTTTCCCTTTTCTCTCTCTTTTCATCCCTCCCTTTTTTCCTCCTTTTTTCTCTTCGTTTTCCACCTTTTCTCCCTCTTTTTCTCCATTCTTTTTTCCCTTTTCCCCCTCTTTTTCTCTCCTTTTCTCTCCTTTTTTTCCCTTTTCTCTCTCTTTTCATCCCTCCCTTTTTTCCTCCTTTTTTCTCTTCGTTTTCCACCTTTTCTCCCTCTTTTTCTCCATTCTTTTTTCCCTTTTCCCCCTCTTTTTCTCTCCTTTTCTCTCCTTTTTTTCCCTTTTCTCTCTCTTTTCATCCCTCCCTTTTTTCCTCCTTTTTTCTCTTCGTTTTCCACCTTTTCTCCCTCTTTTTCTCCATTCTTTTTTCCCTTTTCCCCCTCTTTTTCTCTCCTTTTCTCTCCTTTTTTTCCCTTTTCTCTCTCTTTTCATCCCTCCCTTTTTTCCTCCTTTTTTCTCTTCGTTTTCCACCTTTTCTCCCTCTTTTTCTCCATTCTTTTTTCCCTTTTCCCCCTCTTTTTCTCTCCTTTTCTCTCCTTTTTTTCCCTTTTCTCTCTCTTTTCATCCCTCCCTTTTTTCCTCCTTTTTTCTCTTCGTTTTCCACCTTTTCTCCCTCTTTTTCTTCATCCTTTTTTCCCTTTCCCCCTCATTTTCTCTCCTTTTTTCCTTTTTCCCCCTCTTTTTCTCCCCTTTTT